TTGTTACAATGGGACACAGTCATAATGATTTTAATTTTATTGTGATAGAAGTGATTCAGTCTAATAGGTACCATAGGAGAGATATTCGCCAAGCACTTTTGTGGCGTGAAGCTTACTGGATCTTTAAGTTAAATACGGTGTTTCCATCAGGTCTGAATGCATCTCTGGACTTAGCTAGTTATTTATAATATCCGTTTTTCTTCTGTTGATGGTAGGTTTTAGTATGCCAGTTTGGGAGCATAGCCATTTGTAAGTTGGCAACTTATTATAGTAATGAAAGGATTCGTATGAAGTAAGAGATTCACCTATTTGACATTAGGAACATGTTGGCCCCTTAAGGAAGAACCCTGACTAGTAATTGACAATTAATGTTAAGTCATGATAGGATTCGTGTAAAAAGAATATATAATGTCCACATGAGCCTTACTTGATCAAGCATTATCATTATCTTAGCCCATGGCAGGTTTTACAAGACATTACAGCTATTACTAATACTGGTAAGTTCTCTAGATATGTAGGTTTTGTATTTTAAGATCATTTTGTTATAAGATGTGTATTAGAATATTGAGATGTGTATTGAAATGGAGTTTGTTGTATTTCTTAAAGAATCTTCTTTGATATTTGTGAAACGACACCTGAGGAAGTGAATCACTGAGAGACAGTCTTTGTAAGGTTCCAATCTATTTTATTATTAATTATTAGAATGATTTATACAATGTTAAGAAATTCAAAAATGTACATTATTGTATTTATAAGGTCTCACATCTTTACTTGGAAGAAGATCTACCTTCGAAACGGCAAGACATTCCGGAGATCACCGTCATATATATTTTTCCATATTTGTATATTAACTTTGTTCACTTTTGATTCTTTAAATAACAATTATTAAGCGTCACTTGTTCACAGTTTTTTCTTGCTTCTTGTATCGTGGCTACCAGAGCCAGGGCCTTTTCAGTGGCAGCTCCTTACTGGTGGAATGAGCTCCTGGAGGAGATCAGGGCCCTGTGGGATCTTGGGCATTAGGAGCCGCCCACCACTATAATCAATGGCCACAATTAATATCTGTGGCGTAGGCTGGCCGCAATTGAGATCGAGCCATACTACCTTGAAGAACTGGAGACTGCTGAGTGGAGTGCTTTGAGCCCTGCATTATATGGCATGCCATCTTGCCTTAATAACTACTGTGTGCACTTTAATTGAAAATTGTTGTTTGTTTAAATAGTTGTTTAAATAGTTTAAAATGTTTAGATGAATCTTGGCATGTTGGGCCAAGCAATGTGAGCCGCCCTGAGTCTGCTTGCGGGGAGGGCGGGCTATAAATGTAATCAAATAAATAAATAACAAGAGGACGTTTTGGAGGATGTTAATTCAGAGGGTCACCATCAGTCAAAAGCAAATTGCTGGTACGCAACACACACACACAACATACATTGTACTTTGTATTCTTGACATAGCAAGATACGTTTAGATTTGATAAAAAGTAAGTATTTCATATATTTTATTTCCCCCCTCCCTTTCTGGATTTTTCCCTAAAGCGAACAAAAACCAGAGAAGCCCTATGTTGCCCCCCACCTGTCACAGTGTTTCAAAAACGTCCTGAATTTTTATATCTGTGAACTAACTTTGTCTGAGTGACCCAAAACATAATGAACAATATGTGGTGCATTCTGGGTTGGATCCAACCAGTTTTTCTGCTGGCGAAAAGGGAAGGAGGGGTCCTCTTTGGTCCTTCAAAAAAAGCTATGCTGAGAATCACCAGACCTGCATTAACAAAAAGACATGTGAGGTGGGGGCTGTAGTAGGGAGGGGAACTGAGCAAGATGGAGTGAAGAAACTGGCCAGATCCAATCCTTTCTGGGTGCACAGACCAGGTACTGATGCAACTATAGTTTAATTATTTTAATAATCTAATTTTGTCACAACCTTTATTAACAGCATTTTCTATAGTGCTTTCGAGTCCATTCCTGCACAACAGCAGATGAGAAACAATCAGATACCCCTTTAGTTAGGCCAGAATACAACTTGATTCTTCCCAGGTAAAGACTCTTTGGGCTGATTCAGTTCTGCCTTTTTCATCCAGAGTATATTGCGCCTAGGAACGGGCAGAGATGTTGGCAGGAATTCTAAAGGAAAGGTTACTCATAAAAGAGGATCGTTAAACTTGCCAAGTAGGGGTTCCCCCCCCCCCTTCCCTTTCAGAAGTACAGGATTGAGTTTACTTGTCCACACATTTCTTTAAATCCGTTGTGTGCTTCCTTTCCACCACATGTAAACCAGTAAAAATTTCACCGAAACAGACGTCTTTTGTTTCCTTGACTTCCATTAGGCTGACTCAATATCAACACACGGTACAATCCTCTGTGTGCCACAGCAACTATTCCACTGTTCATCCAGAGCCAACCTTCACTGTCTCACTCATCTTGCATGTGCTAACAGGGTTAGAATTTGCACTGAACACCAGAACAAAGAGAATGAAAGAAAATTATCTGAATAACTAAATATGCAATGAATTAGCTGAGCTCCTTGGATGCAGTGGGGAGAGGACTGGGTTAGAACCGAAGTGGCATGAGTGCAAACACAACACACCGTAGGCATGTGTTGGTGTGTATATGCCCAGACGCAGATGGCCTGAGAAGCACTTGGCATCTGTGTGAGGCTTTTGGAGTGATGTAGAAACCACATCCAATTGGCATTTAGAATCCCTTTACCCATATATTAGGTGGTTTTTACAGGAAGACAGCCTTATATGGTTTCCTGGTTGCTTGTATGGCTGCGGACACATGGGGGTTCCACATGGAAGTGTGGTGTAGTGGTTAAGAGAACTGGACTAGGATCTGGGAGACCCAGGTTCAAATCTCCATTCTGCCATGGAAGCCGGCTGGGTGACCTTGGGCCAGTCATGCATTCTCAGCCTAATCTACCTCACCAGATAACATGGAGAAAGGGAGAATATTGTTAAGTCACTCTGGAACCCCACTGGGGAGGAAAATGGGATATAAACTAAGTAAAATAAATAATTATCTCAATATAATCACATAACAGTGTGTGCATCAAATTCTCAGCTTTCACTAAAAAAAAATCTCTGGCCTCTTTCTTTGTGGAGGTATGTCTTTCCCCTTATATCTCTGCAACAGAAAGAACCACGAACTTCCTTTTTTGTTAATGAAAGCTGGGAATTGGGAAAATCTGGTAGACACGTTGTATTGCTATAACTGCATTCAATTGTAGGTTCTTCTTATAAAAAATAACACACACACACCCAGATGGTGGGGTGGGGGACGAAATGGCCACTGTGGTGACAGTGTCAGGGGAAATGGCTGCTATGTGAGTGGGGAAATTGAAGATTTATCTCACCAGTGAATCTTCCTGCTCCGTAGACCAGTTGTGGGACAGTCTGACCTCTGGGAAGACACTCCTCCCTATAGGCAGGCAGGGCCACCGCTTCTTTGTTGTGATTCCTGCAGGGGAGGGGCTTCTCTCACATTCTCCAGTGTAGTCCTGAAGCAATAAGAAACCCTTCTCCCAAATATCAAAAACCTATAACCAATGCTATCCCTTGGCCACAGCATATGCCAAGATAGCAACAAAAAGAATCTAAGGCTAACATCCAACACCCCTGTGACTCTCACCAGACCAAGGAAAGGAGGACTATGATAACAGAGATAAGCAGGTTGCTTACCAGTAACTGGTGGTCTTTGAGTGGTCATCTGTGCATTCACACCCATGGGATTCAGTGTGGACGCGCTGGATCGATCGGTGCTGTAGCAAGCTCTTTTCTAACGGATTTTCGTGCCCAGTCCCTCCGCACATGCCCAGGAACCCCACCGCGCATGCCCAGAGGGGTGGGCGCGAACATCCCGCCAGTTCCTTCAAAGTACTGCCGCAAATCAACCCCCATTCGAAAATGTAGAAGCTGACAGCAGCGGGGAAGGAGGGCAGGTGGTGTGAATGCACAGATGACCACTCGAAGATCACCAGTTACTGGTAAGCAACCTGCTTATCTTTGACGTGGTCTCTGTGCTTCACACCCATGGGAGATTAGCGAGCAGTAGCCTACCTGGAGGTGGGTGCTGGCAGGTCTTTTACTGCGTAGCCGAAGCCAGAATGTGACGTCCCATGTTGGTACTGGTGTTCGTACAGACGTCTAGGACATAGTGCCTGATGAAGGTGTTAGGCGTGGCCCAGGTAGCAGCTCTACAAATGTCCGGCAGTGGAACTCCCTGGAGGAAGGCAGTGGAAGTCGCGACAGCCCTGGTAGAATAAGCCCTGATAGGACCAGGCAATGGCTTTTTGGTGAGTAGGTAATATAGATGGATTAGACCTACAATCCACTTAGACAGGCGCTGAGCCGTGATGCGACTGCCTAGTCGTGCCGAAGTGTACGAGATGAATAGTTGCAGGTCTCATCTAGTTGGATGCATTCTTTGCAGATAGAAACAAGAGAGCCCGCTTGACATCTAGAGTGTGTAGTAATCTCTCCTCCTCTGACGTAGGGTTTGGAAAAAAGTCTGGGAAGAAGACCTCAGCCTGCAGGTGAAATTCTGACCACACCTTCGGCAGGAAGGAAATGTCCGGTACTAGGCGCACTCCATCTGGCAGAAACGACAGGTAGGGTGTATCGTGGTAGAAAGCCAGTATCTCTCCCACTCGCCTAGCCGAGGTAATGGCAACTAAAAAGGCCGTTTTCCAAGCCAAGAGTTTCAGCTCGCGTGTTGCGAGTGGCTCAAAGGGCTTCCTAGTCAGCTGGCGTAGAACTAGAGGAAGGTCCCATGGGGCAACTGGAGTTTTGACAGGAGGGTAAAGGTGAAGCAAACCTTTTAAAAACCGTTTCGAAAGCGGATGTGAAAACAAAGTACATCCTTCAACTGGAACATGGTAGGCCGAAAGAGCGGCCAAATAAACTTTCAACGAGGAATGGGAAAGTCCCGAGTCAGCTAAGGAGAGGAGGAAATGAAAAACTATTTCAAGGCCAGCTGAGGTGGCTTGGGTGGCGTCATCACCCAGGAAAGAACAGAACTTCCTCCATTTATAATCATAGGACTTCCTGTTGCTTCTGTTCGCAAAGACATCGACTCGGGGAGTCCCCCACTTGTGGAAGAGAAGGAGGAGGTATTTTAGGTTCATCCCCCAGTCGTGCAGGCTGAGTCTGACTCGACTTAGATGGTCTGCCTGCACGTTCATGTGGCCAGGGATGTGAGTGGCCACGAGGAATATGTCATTGTCGATGCACAACTTCCACAACTGGATGGCCAGGTTGCATAGGCGTTGGGACACCGTGCCTCCCTGCCTGTTGATATATGACAGCGCTGTGGTGTTATCCGTCAGGACCATGACACATTTTCCCTTGAGTAAGGGGAGGAAGGAGGTGACAGCGTGTCGTATGGCTAGGAGTTCGAGGAAGTTTATGTGTTTTCTCCTCGTTTGCACATCCCATTTGTCTCCGACAGACAGCCTCATGGAGTGTGCACCCCATCCCGTCAGGGAGGCATCCGTAGTTATTGTTACTTCCGGTGACCGAGGGTGTAAGGGGGCTCCCCGAAGGATATTGGCAGGGACAGTCCACCAAGATAAAGAGTCCTGTATACTGGGAGGAGGGAATAGGACAACAGTGTGTGTGTTTTTCAACAGGTCGTAGTGGTGAATGAACCATAGTTGTAAGGGACGCATTTTGAGTCTGTCAAAGACGAGAACCGACGTAGTTGCCATCATCAGACTGAGCAGCCTCTGAATTTGGAAGGCAGTGACGGAGGGTTGGGTACCAACGACGTTGGCTAGAGAAATAATATCTGCTGCCCTGTCTTGGGACAGGTAAGCCATGCATGTCTGTGAATCCAGGATTGCGCTGATATACTGTATGCACTGGGCTGGATACAAATGAGACGGACCATCGTGGCCGACCTACCATCTACCTGGCCTTGGACGGGGGGCACACGTTGCCAGATTTGGGACATCATCCCGGCGCTTCGACGTTTTACTCTTTCAGCCGCAAATGAGAGCCATCGACCATCTTGGATTTTAAAATGACTTTGATCTTTACTATGTACCGCAGAGCACCATTTTATCTTGTATTTATTGAAGTTTTAATGTATTTTATGTTTTGATTCGGCATGGCCGCTGTTAGCCGCCCTGGGCCGTATGGGTAGGGCGGGATACAAATCCCAAAAAATAAATAAATAAAATAAATAAATAAATAAATAAATTTTGCCTGTTCACTTGAAGGCCCAGATTCTACAATAATGTCAGAGTCTCTGCAACGTTTGAGATTAGGACGGTTTTGGAAGGCGCTACCAGAAGCAAATCGTCTATATAGGGATAGATCGACATACCCTGTAGACGGAGGAAAGCCGCAACCACAATCATGTTCTTCGTAAAGACTCTTGGGGTGCTGGAGAGGCCGAACGGAAGAGCCGTATACTGGAAGTGCCGGTGACCAACCACAAAGCGTAGGTATTGATGGTGGAAGGGGTGAATAGTGATGTGGAAATACGCATCTTGGAGGTCGAGGGTTGCCATCCAGATGTGTCTGCGAAGCAATGGCATGATCTGTTGAAGCGAGACCATGCGAAAGCGGTGGTAAATCACAAAGCGATTCAACTCCCTGAGATCTCTCCTCTGTCTCTCTTCGGGACTGTGAAGTATCGGGAATAAAATCCCGTCCCATGGAGATGTGGTGGTACATGTTCTATGGCTCCCTTTTGTAGAAGGACGGACACCTCCTCGAGGAGAGGTGGGGAAGGGGGCGTGGAGACGACGACTGGAATATTGGGGTTCTGGATGAACTCGATTCTGTAGCCTCGGGTCAAGATGGCGAGCACCCACTCGTCCGAGGTGATATGATGCCAAGTGTGAAGGAAGGGTGACAGACAGGTAGTAGCTGACTCGGTGACTGAGAAGTCAAAAACCCTGTTTGGAGGGTTTAGACTGTTTGGTGCGGGAAGCTTGTTGGCCTGAACCAAATTTTGGTTTCTGGAAGGTGGGGTTTTGGCCCCCAGAAGACGTTCTTGGCCTCCAACAGGTGTCAGGAGACTGGTGAGTTGGGCTGCACCTCTGCCAGGATCTCGACCAGTTACGAGGACGATAGTGTTGTTTCGAAGAGGATGAGACCCCTAGAGCTCGGGACACCTTTATACTTTTATCTATCTCTTGAAGAGTAGAATCAGTGGTGGCATTAAACAGACCAAGGCCATCGAAGGGAAGGTCCGCTACGTAAGACCTAGTGTCTATTGGCAGGCTAGTGTTGCGGAGCTAGGAATGTCTTCTAAGAGATATTGCAGACGCCATTGTTCATGAAGATGCCTCAAGGACATGTTTGATAGTGCTGAGCTGTTGTTTCGCCAACACCATGCCCTCTTTCTGTATGACTCTGGCTGCCTGCAGTTTGTCCTCTTGTAGGTGACTTAGAATTTCTGAGAACCGTTCCCAAAGAGTGTATTGGTAGCGGTTCATACAGGCCAAGTAGTTGGTGGCCTTGACTCCCAATGCTCCAGTGGAGTAAAATCGTCTGCCAAAGGCATCTAATTTCTTTCCTTCCTTGTCAGAATGTGCGGAATGCGTCCTCCGTGATTTGGAGGAAGACGTTATCACCACTGAGTTTGGTTGAGGATGAGAGAAGAGAAAATCTGCATCTGTCTCTTCTACTCTGTACATGTGGTCCAGTTTCCGTGTGGACAGTGGAGCCAATGAAGGTTTTAGCCATGGTGATTTAGCTGCTTGGAGAAGTACCGAGGACATAGGCGATGCCAAGGTGGAAGAGGTGTCGAGCTGAACTATATCATAGACTGAGTCTGTCGCCTGTTGTTGTAGTTGGACGACAGAGAGACCTAGGGCATAGGCCATTCTTTTGACCAGATCTGTATAAGACGTAAGGGTTATCTGATGGGGATATGGGTAAGTCCTCAGCGACATCTTGGTTGGGAGACTTATGGTCAGGAGAAGTGTGAGCCTCAGAAGCCTCCATATCTGAGTCCTCTTCTGCAAAGTCAGAGGAGTCTTGCTGTTGAATTTGGACAGATGTGTCCTGCTGACAGGTCAGTGGTTTAAATTGGACGACAGGAGCAACAGGAGGTGCAGTGACTGGAGGGTTGAGAGTACGACTTGGTTCCAAATTGTGGTGGGATGGATCGACCAAAGGAGGATGTGACAGAGATGCTGAAGGTCTCGATCTATGAGGGGATCTCGATTTATGAACAGAATGGGTGGAATAGTGATCCCAATCAGCATAGTCCGCAGGCATTAACCATGGCAGGGAAGATGGATATGCCCCATACAGGTACCTCAACTGTCGTTGATCCCATGACATCGGTGTTGGGGGGGGCAGGAAGACTCTTGGGGAACGACTTCTGAACCATGGACGTCTGGGAGACAAAGCGGCAGCTTGTCTGTGGGCATTGTCCCGGTAATCTCGGTTGTCGATATCGACAGATTGACTGTGCAGATGTGGAGGGTGACGCTGCGTGCCACATGAGGTGTATCGGTGCCAACGTGGATCGATGTCGGGAGCTTCCGATACTGTCGATGTCGACGATGGAGAAGGAGACGGAGAATGCTCTGTATCAATCCGGTGGCTTAGGAGCTCTACCGTTTCGATGTCAGAGTAAGGACGCTCTGTTTGTTGGATGGGGGAATCCAATACATGGATGGTTGGTATCGGTGGTGGGACTGGGGCCTCCGATATCGATACTGCCGGTTGCACTACAGGGGCATCACCCAGTGCTTGTATCGCTGCCTTCCCTGTCTTAGCCGCCTTGAGGGACTTGGAGGTGCCCTTCTTCGCGGACTTGGTCTCCGTACTTGCCTTAGCCTTCTTTTCGACAGGCGTGGAAGCGGACGATCGTGCCTTCGATGTCGGGAGCTTCGGTGTCGGGCGGTCGACATTGGAGGCGGGCCTCGGTGTCGGAGCTGTCGACGTGGACGGTCTCTCCTCCATCAGTGTGGTGGGAGCAAGACTTGTACCGCTGCCTTCCCCGTCTTAGCCGCCTTGAGGGACTTGGAGGTGCCCTTCTTCGTGGACTTGGTCTCCGTACTTGCCTTAGCCTTCTTTTTGACAGGCGTGGAAGCAGACAATCGTGCCTTTGATGTCGGGAACTTCGGTGTCATGCGGTCGACATCGGAGGTGGGACTCGCTGTCGGAGCTGTCGACGTGGACGGTCTCTCCTCCATCAGTTTGGTGGGAGCAAGAGCCGATTTAAGCAGCGCTAATTTAAGGCTCGCTGCGCGGTTTTTCCTCATTTGGTTGGAGAAGCGAGCACAATGACGACAGGACTCCAGTTTATGAGACTCTCAGAGGCAGAAAATACAACGTTTATGTTAGTCCGGAGGAGCAAGTTTGCTTCCACAATGTGTACACCTTTTAAAAAATCCCCACTTCTTCTCCATAGAAGTGGAGCAGAGATAACGGTTGACAGGAGGGGGGGGGGGTTGGCCCGAAGGCCTGAAGTAAATTCCCCTCAGAGAAAACAAAGTCCTTTTTTGTGTGTGTGAGGAACAAGAACCAAAAAGGAAAAAGAATAAGTGGAAATAATTTCCAAAAGCTGAGAGGGTTTCTCCAAAGGCTATCAGCGAACCGATCAGACCGACGACGAAAGAGGTCTTTCCAACGCGGCGGTAAGAAAGGAATTGGCGGGATGTCCACACCCACCCCTCTGGGCATGCGCGGTGGGGTTCCTGAGCATGCCCAGCGGGACTGGGTGCGAAAATCCGTTAGAAAAGAGCTTGCTACAGCACCAATTGGTCCAGCGCATGCGCACTGAATCCCATGGGTGTGAAGCACAGTGACCACGTCGAAGATCTAAGAGCATAAAGCATGTCCCCTCCGTGATGGAAAACATCCTAAAAATTACCTTCAGGGGGAAACAGACGGCCCCACCCCCTGGACCACCAAGAAGGAAGATTCACCTGTAAGTGAGATAAATCTTCTGTTCTCCAGTGGTCCTGAGGTGGGGCAGTCTGACCTCTGGGACATAGAAAAGCAGTTTTTCCTGGGAGGGAGAGATGGTTCCTAGACCAAAATGGCATGCTGTAGAACCCTTCTTCCAAAGATTGCCTCTGCCAAGGCCAGCTTATCGATTCTGTAGTGCCTGGTGAATGAATGAAAGGGCCTCCATCTGGCAGCCTTACAAATGACTTCCAAGGAAGGAAGTCTATATGCTGCTGAGATTGCTGACCCTCTGGGGGAGTGAGCCATGACATCCGAAGGGAGATCAAGTCATGCAGACTTTTAGGTGAGGATTACACAGCCTTTAGCCCACCCACCAATGGTGGAGGCAGAGACCTCATGTCCCATGGAGGACTTCCTGAAAGAATCAAAATAAATAGTCAGTCTTCTGCAAGGTATTAGTTCTATCCAAGTGGAAACTCAAGACCTTCATCACATCCAAACAGTGTCACTCCTTTTCCTGAGGGTGCTTAGGATTTGGGCAAAAGGATGGCAAAACTAGGTCCCTGGACCTATGGAAGTCAGAATTGACTTTTGGGACAAAGGCCAGGTCTGTTCAGAGTACCACTGTGTCATTATGAAAAACACAGAGCTCCTTGTCTGCTGAAAGGGCTCTGTGTTCTGATACCCTCCTAGCAGAGGTGATGCCTACAATTAAGTTTGTGTTAAAGGTGAGCTCCTTCAGTGGACATGTCACCATGGGCTCAAAGGGTACTCTAGCTAGAGTCCTGAGAACTACATTCAGGTTCTAGGTGGGGAAATGAAGGACTTGAGAAGGGTTGATCAAGGTGGTGCCCCTCAGGAATCTCTTGACATGGGGCTGCTGTGATAGGGACTTCTCTTTCTTGGCAGTAAGGGTCTCTAACCCATTGCCAGAGCACCAAATGTGGAATGCCTGCCAGGTGTTGTTATAAACCCTGTTGGTAGATCCTTTCCTGGAGGCTACTAAGGTGTCTATAAACCTGCCAGGGCAATCTTTCTACTCAAGTTGCAACAGTGCAATCCCCAGGCTCTGAATTTTAGTAGCTCGTGCTGTGGATGCACTAGGGGCTCCTATGACTCTGGTTGGGAGTCGCCATGGGTCCATAAATCAATAGCCTCATCAGTTCCTGGAACCATGCCTTGTGGGGCCAAAAAGGGACTGCTAGTACTAAGTCTGCCTGAAGGTCTATGATTCTCTGAACCACCCTCTGTATTATCTGTGTGGGAGTGAAGGCATAGAGCAGTAGATGCAGCCATTCACAGCTTAGGGTGTCTACCCCTATGGCTTGCTGAGATCGTATTTTTGAGATGAATCTTGAAACCTGCTCCATTGTGAAGAGGTCCACTTCCATTTCGCCAAATCTGTCACTTATCTGCCAGAAGGTCTTCTTGTTCAGTATCCATTCTGTTTGATTCAGCATCCTCCTGTTCAGTCAATCCACCACCGTGTTGGTGTGTCCTTCCACATGCATGGCCTTGATTGACCTCAGATGGATCTCTGTCCACTGAAGCATCAACTCTGCCTCTGCGTATAGGGACCTGGATCTGGTACCTCCCTGACGACTGACATAGGACTTCGCCGTCATGCTGTCTGTATGCACTGGAACGTGGTGCCCTGACAGAGGATCTTGGAAGTCCTAGCCTGATTGCCCTGAGATCCAGCAGGTTGATCCTCTGAGACACTCCCTCCTGTGACCAGGTACCCTGTGCCATTCTCCCCTGAGAGTGGGACCCCCAGCCTGTGTGGCTTTCATCCAAAGTCACAATTATTCTCTTTGATTCCCTTAACTGAGTTCCCTCTAGGAACCTAAGAGGGATCATCCACCACTGGAGTTGATGGATCAGTGGTGCCCGGGGCTGAACTAGCTTGTGCTGACTCTTGGCTATCAGTTCCCGAAAGAAGAAGAAGAAGAGATTGGATTTATACCCCGCCGTTCACTACCCAAAGGAGTCTCAGAGCAGCTAACAAACTCCTTTCCCTTCCTCTTCCCACAACAGACACCCTGTGAGGTAGGTAGGGCTGAGAGAGCTCTGACAGAAACTGCTCTTTCAAGGACAGCTCTTCTCAGAACTATGGCTTGCCCAAGGTTATCCAGCAGGTACAAGTGGAGGAGTGGGGAATCAAACCTGGTACTTAACCACTACACCAAAGTGGCTCTCAACCAGGGAAGGAGGAACCTTTGAAGAGGGTGAAAATGGAAACGTGACCACTGGACGATATCCTGACAGGAGACCGTCTTCCCAAGGATCCTTGCCAGGAACAACACCTCTATGTGGGATCGTTGTGAGATTCCCTGTATCGAGGTTATGACGTTCTCTTGTCTCTCCTGTGAGAGGAAACTCTGTCCTGAGCTGTGTTTATCATGACCCCTAGGTGCGGGACCCTCTGGGATGGAGACAGGCTGCTCTTCTCCTTCTTGATGATGAACCCGTGGTCCTGAAGACATGATATGGTTTTCTGTACATTTATCAGGCCCTAGGAGAGGGATGGAGACCTGATCAGCAAGTCATCTAGATATGGGAAGATGGCTATCAAGGCAACTAGCACCTTGGATGCTGTCTTGAGCTCAAAAGGAACAACCCTGTACTGGAAATGAAGCCCACTGTAAGCAGAGCACAGGAACCTACGATGTGCCTTCTGAATGGGGATGTGCAGATAGGCCTCTGAGAGAAAATTTCCTTCCTGTATTGATGACCCTATGGACTTTAGGGTTTCCATCCAGAACTACTTCTTTTTTATTCTCCTTTTCAGCCATTCGAGGTCTAGAATAGCTCTCATGTTTCCATTCTTCTTTGGGATGATGAAGAAGACTGAATAAACCCCTAAGGCCCTTTGGGCCTCCGATACGGGCTCTATTACTCCTATCTCCAAGAGGTGTTGTATGGCTTTGAGAAGGAGAAGGTGCTTCCGTGGGCATCTGCTCTTCAGCACCTGTAAAAAACTGTTGGTTGGAACAGATCAGAGCTCTAGAGAGTAGCCATTCTTTAC